CCTCCATTTACGCACAGAAAGGCGCTCTGGCTATTCGTGCAGCGCAGTCGTCACACGAATAAACACAGCGTCTTTGTGTGCGCAAGTGGTAGGGGGAAAACGTCGTGACTCGCGGCTATATCACTGGACTTATATAATAATTAAAACGTTTTAGCATTAAATATCTTATGTGATATACATCAGTTAATTCCGCAACCTACGGTAACTTCTAAATTGTCAGCATAACAATTTCACAAATTATTTAACAAAATTTTTTTCCTATTTGTCATTGCCTGCATTTTTTTGACAAATAAAAATTAATTATAGATATATTTTTTAAACATTTTAATTTAATTTTTTATACTTGTAATTGTACAAACAATTTACATCTATAGCGTTTTTTTTTTTAATATGAAATGAATAAAGGATCAATCATCTGTGTTATAACATATCTGTAATTCTCTGTCTTATAAAAATAACAATACATAAAACTGTTTTTATTTTTCAGAATCGCAAGTTCCAAGTTTTCCAACTGTATTTCGACGGTGCCTTTGTTGAATGAAGTCAACTCTACTAAGTTCCAAATTGCTATTTTTGATCAGCTACTGGCTGGGTTTCCTACCTACTGCTGTTCAATATTCTACGCTTGACAAGATTTATATGACAGGTAAGCTTTATTGAACACATAAATTTTAAATTTTTTCAACTTTTTTCCAAACTGAAAAGTGTTTTTTTTTATATGAAAAGGAATACATATTACTTGAGTTCAGTTATAGGTAATGCAATATAATTATTTTTGTGATGTAATAATTTTGTTAAGAATATTTAAAGCTATTAGTACTTAAGTTGGTATAATTTACGTGATATTTTTTAATATTTGGTATTTTGAATTGGAACTACTCAAAGTTAAGTTTATTATAAATATTTGTACTATTATAATTTTATTATATATAATATGCAACCCTTGTTTTTTTTTACATAAATTGATTCATTTCACAATGCAGTGCGTAAAAGTATTAAGACATAATTATCAAAAAATGAATAGTTTACGAGGTATATTAATTGTAGGTTCATGTAAAATTATATTAATTTTGCAACTACATATTCCCTGAAACAAAACATCGTGCAAAAAAATTTATTTGTATGTATTACACTTTTTTGCTTGTACCCCACTATTATTGGCTTACCTTGTAAATAATATATAATATTACAAGTAGGAATACACTATTTTGTCTGCAATCATAAATTTTTTCATATTGTACAGATATAACACTTGACATGGCAATGAATAAAAAACGTCAAAGAAAAGATATCTTGTATGTATCAAAGCGACACCTTAGAAGAATAGCTGCACAGGAGGCAGATATTATTTGTCACAATTTGTTTGATAGAACTTCATTGTCGTGTGATAATAGTAAATTCACAAAACAATGACAGAATTAATTCTACAATAATAGATACTGACAATGATCTAGAATGTGAAAATAATGTCAGTTTTGTACAACAGGAAACTTATACCAAGTAATTCTAAGTAAGTAAAATATTAAAAAACAATTGTTCCGTTCTTATTACATGCTAAAATTTTGTGTAATATAGATATATTAATATTTCTCAACTATTTGTCACATTTATATACGTGCATTAGAGAAATAAAATTAACTTTTATACTTATTAATTTCAATCACATAATATTACAAACTTGTGATACAAATATTTCTTTTATTAACTAATAATTAATGAATTAATATAAAAATTTGTTATTTTTGCAGGTGTGATAAGAAACACACATGCATCTGTGAAGGATGAACAAATTTCTAATCCCATAAAAATATGGTTAGCACATACCAAAGAACGCATGGATCGAGAGAGAAAAAAGAAAAGAGGAAGAAACCAAAGAGATCAGGTACAAAACGAACCTGACGAACCTGACGAACCTGACGAACCTGACGAACCTGAAGAGCCTGAAGAACCCAAAGAACGTCATTGACATAAGTTACTTATTATAAAAGAAAGAAGGTGCCGACGATCTCTTGCTTAAGAATATGTTATTTTCAAGATTTTTTATTTTGCCAAGAATGTTTCTTTTATTTTCAAGATTTTTTATTTTGCCAAAGATGAACAGGTGCCTCTTCTACCTCACGTATAACATATTCTTAATTCTATTTTTAGTATTTTTTCATATGCGTTTTTTCAATGCGTTTTATTTACAAGTAAATATTTCCGTTTTTTTAATACTCTGCAAAAATGTAAGAAGAAATCTCATTTAAACAATTGATTGACGGTATGCAACTTAACATCCTGCTGATTGCAAATGTAAATTTCTATGATTATATTTCGCTTTGTTCTTTAAAAGAGTTCGTTACTCTGAATGGCTTAATGTGAAGTAATGAATATAAAAATGTATAATTGCGCTGTACAAAAAGAAAAATATTATTTATTTTCTCATTTATTTGAAGCGCTAATATTTTATAATAATAAATGATTGCTTCTTTTGCATGAGAATAAATTTTTATTTTATTTTGCAATTTATAAATTCCAACTATTAATAAAGGAAATGTTTGTATATTCAATAAAAATTATTCGCCAGTGATGAAATAATTCGGTATAGTTAAACGGCCTGACTGGCAAGTTTTATTAGGTATATCACAACGACGTTTCGACCACTATTTTGGGTCCTTTTCAAGTTATTTTAACAATGATGGATCATTGTGCGTCAATTATATAAAATTCGTGGCGGGTCGGAAAAATACGACGGTCTCATGTGAAGGCCGAGAAACTTATATAATTGACGCACAATGATCCATTATTGTTAAAATAACTTGAAAAGGACCCAAAATAGTGGTCGAAACATCGTTGTGATATACCTAATAAAACTTGCCAGTCAGGCCGTTTAACTATACCGAAATGTTTGTAGTTCAATAAATACACGCGTATACTATACATGTGAAGAAATCTTTATGATGACGTAAATATTTACATTACATTAAATTGTACCGCGATTTTTAGTATTAAGTATCCTAGTTTAGCCGATGAATAGACCGACGCTGCAAAAAATAATTCAGTTATATCGACGCAATGTATTCTGACTTTATTGAACTTTTTTATATAACGATCGAAATTAGACAACGTATATTTTAAAATATTGAAGCTTATTGAATATAGTGAAAGTAACTTGTGTCTGATTATAGCTTACATGATATACAATTAGAGTTTTACGAATGCATTGTGATTCTCATATATGCTGAAATCTGGAAAGAGTAAACGTAAACTTTGTAAATTGTGTCTATACAGTTCAATCGTACAACTGCATGTATATATTGAGTTATAACTGAATTATATTGTATTGCACTGATATATATACGAGTCTTCTTCCGCGAGGCATAAGCAAAATTTTATCACGTATAAAGGTGATTATTCAAGATATCATTCGATATTGTTATACGATACTATTTGTCCCACGTTACATTTCTTCTTTTTTACCGATAATATATCCGTACTCACATTTTCTTACTGCTGTGTACTCAGACTTGCCGCTATCATCGATTACGCTTCTTTATAAGATTTGTGTTTCATTATTATTTCGCTGAACTCGACGTTAAGCCTGATGTACAATGAGGTTTTAGCTGATTTTTCCCTGAGAGTGCTACGATTTATCACATTAGAAAAACCGTTCTCTTACGATGTACTGCTATGATGATGTAAGTCAATTTTTTGACCACTTTTCTTTTTAAACATATTTGCGCATATGTAAACTTGTCACCAATCAGGCTTAAGTTTACAGGATCAAACATAGTATTTTTGTACATTTGCACTGATTTTGTCTCAGGATAATTTATAAAAAAGCATAGAGAATTTATTTTTGGTCATAAAATAAGCTTGTTTCCTTTAAATACTATAAAATACCTACTTGCTGTTGCAAGACAAAGAATTACAAATACCCAGAAGGCAAAAAATAGTATCAAATATATAAATGTTAAGATTGGTTGGAAAAATAAACCAGGTAATTCTTTTAAACATTTTGCACTTTCTTTAAATAGTACCGCCATAAAGCTGATGCGTTTGCGTAATATACATAAAAGAAATAATAAAATAACCTGCAAAATAAAAAAAGATTAATATGACGAGAGAGAGAGAGAGAGAGAGAGAGTTTGCCAGCAAATTCAAGCAGAAATTGCAGCAAATTAGGCTCAGACTGTTTACAGGAAGCTTGGTAAAAATTACCTGTTTCTTTAACACTTTCTCTCCAATCGTCCTTCTGCTGAAGAAATCCCATGAAATGTTCGTCGCGCGAAAGTATAGGATGCAATGCAACTCTTATAAGGAAATTCTGTGCGCAAAAATATTTTCTATGACTTTCCTAGACTACGGTCAACGTGACGCTACAAATGCTTCGAAGCCTTCCTCTTCTCTTTTCTTTCAATGAAGAAAGAAGGAGAAGAAGAACGTTCCGAAGCATTTGTAGCGTCACGTTGACCGTAGCCCTAGTATACAACATTCATCGCACAATACTGTTATAATTGCAAATCGGAAACGTACCTCGAATCCAGCTCTTCTGCGATCAACAAAGTCGGAATTGAACGTGTCAGTCGTCACTTTCTGTCAAGCGTAGAGAACCTTCTTTTCCGGCAGCTGTGGTAACACGATGTAGGGATACGAAATCTCCAGATAAGCACGAAGCAATTCAAATTCAGTATACCGCCGGCACGATTACTTAGTGTTACTGCCGTTTCGCGTACGCGCGTATGAGCGCGTTTTCGCACCTTACCTCGCGACAGCGTGCGGCTCGTGCAAACGTTAACGCGCGGCCGCAATCGCGCGGCAGAAACGCCTCGTGTGAACAGGCTCCTTGATCTCAGTATCAGCTCCCTGCCGTCAATATATAATATGCCGTCAATATATATATAATAAGTTAACCTGTATGTAAACATTCGCGTAAACGTAGTAAACAGTAAAATAAGTAACAGTATGTATGATGTATTTATTACATATCCCCGTGGGGCTTACAAGGCGTTTTTTTCATAAGGAACGTACCCAAACCTTTTACAAATGTTCATTTCCCTATGCCTGACCATTTGCGACCTCACAAATATTTACCCTCTCTCCCTGTAATCCTCTTCACCCCTCTTCTTCTTCCTCCGTTCCTACCGCGACTTCGTCCTTCAGTCTCCCTCCTTCTCATCTCAGCTCTTCTTTATTTGACCCAGGCCCTCTTTCCCCCATCCTCCTTCTCCTCATTATCGGAGACCATGAGCAGTTTCTCCTCCAACCCTCTCGTAATTTCTTCCTCCGACCTTCCTGTACTCTTGCGTATCCTCGCTTCCATTTTCTCCTCTCTCTCTCTCTCTCTCTCTCTCTCTCTCTCTCTCTCTCTCTCTC